GGCGGAACGCGCGCGATTGAAAATGAAGCAGTGGAGAATCAGCTACCGATACGGAGGCCACAAAAATTGAGGTTCCCGACCTAATTGCCCGAACGTGTCCCAGAGATCAACCGATTGTTGTTACCGAGCTATACGGAGTGTCGACCTGAGCCAACTGAAGCAGCGTCGTTCCCCTACGGAATCAAGTGTGTGTGTGTGTGAGGTTTCGCCATCGAGGGCGAAAATCGTGTGCGCGCGAATTCGTGATCCGCGACAGAGAACATACAAACTTTACCGTTACGAGAGTGTGACTTGCTCATCCGTTCTTTGCAAGACTGCTAAAAAGGTAAACTGGCCAGCTTAATCTCGCGACCGCGATTGCATGCATGATAATCAATTTTCCGTACTCGAAGCGAAGCGTGCATGTAATAGCTCTGCTAACAAAGAGCGGCGAGCGATTCGACTCTGTATGTCGTCGTCGTGCTAGCGCCACTGTAAACATAAACACGCGGACTAATTCTAGTGTGACATTTAAGAGATAATAAAAGATTCGGTCAGCGATATTAACCTTATTCACGCCGTATTGATTTCACTCCCGTAGATAGTTAGTTGACTGACACCCATTCCCTCTTGCTCTCCGACTTTCGTATTTGATATAGGTGATTACGCACGCCCATCTACACGATCGTCCGAATAAATTAATTAAACGGTAGCAACCCCGTTACAACATATAGATAAAAAATATTTATTAGCGATGGCAAAAAAAATTAACAAATTAAACTATGACAATACGGTATATTAAGATTAAAAATTGTAACATTGGGATTATCACCCATTGAATTGTTACGCTTTGTACGCAATCGATATATCGATCAATGTGCGTGATCGACTTGAAATTTGTTCACGCGGCTGTTGAAAATTAACAATTAACGTTGGCTACGGCCCGCTCTGAAAATTAACAATATCCAACGTAGCTCCTAGACAACGTGACGTCCGAGTGATTAAGCCATCTTTAGTCATAGTTGACGGTCAAGCAGACTTTCTCAGTAAGTACTTAATTGTTATTACGTTGGTATGACATTCAACGGGATGATCTATAATGTTCTGTATTAATAATTTGTGACATGTTCCAAGGATTGGATTGGGGAGGAAATGTAAACGAAAAATCACATGGTATAATCGCGTGCGAGAGAGGTCCCTTTATAATTTGGAAATCAAGTATTATTCTAATAACTTCTTATTCTTGGCCATTTTCTTGATTTGCTCATATTTTTTGAGAAACAAAATCATGAATATGTTTATGAAAATTTTACAGTTTGGACACGGTTTTATTCCACGGTTAAAAAATTTTCAGTTTGACGACAGATCATAAATCCTTTAAATGCTCGATTTTAGAAAAAAAGAGCGAAGAAACCATGATTTGTTCAATCTGAATTTTGTTATTAATTATATGATGAATAATGCGATGAAATATAAGAAAATTTTCAACCGGTTATAAATAATGTCTTCAAAATTATTTGTCAACAATACAGATAGTTTTAATAACAAAATTATTGCTAAAAAACCAGTATGGAAGAAAAAGTCGTAAGAAAATAAAAGTAAGGACTGCTTGAAAAAGTGTAGTCTGATTGCTTGACATCACAGAAATTCATTGATATCGTCACTACTGAAGAAAAATGTAAATTAAAGAAAGCACGAGTTAATTCAAAAGATACTAGTAATATACGCAAATATTAAGAACCAAATATGAACCCTACGGTATTATTATATCTAATAAAGTAATAATTCTATATATGAGTAATATTTATTGATTTCATCGATTACACGAACCATAAAATGCACAAGTGTTTCGTTAATTAATTATTAGAACAAAACAACATAAGTCATTAATACCGGATGGTAATACAAAATGAAAAAAAAAAAAATAAAATTACTTTAGAGGATAAAAATTAAAATAATAATAAGAAGATATTGTATAGCAAATAACATAACTCTTATATTAATATAATTAGACATTATAATCATATAATACTGTTAATTTGATTGCGAAATCGAACTATTTTTTTCTTATATCTAAGTATAAATATCATTACAATTTGTGACCCTTTGCTTTCTTGAATATTGTTACATTTATTATATTATATTATACATTACATTACATCGAGCTATGATCACGCAGAACAAAACTGCACTATATGAAAATTGTCATGTATACAAATAAATCGCAAACACGATTTCTTTTGTCAATCGCCAGGTGCATAAATTGTATAAACATGAAATATATTTAAATAAGATTATACATTCAACTACTATATTTTTATACCTTACACATAGTGAAAAATCGCAAACAGCGTTTCAATCGACAAACAGAAAGAGATCCTGCGTCTCGTCGCGTATATAGCATGTACAAAATTCAAAGCCTTAATTTTTTAAGCTGAAGACCATTGTAACATGGAAAATAGCTAAAGCGAATGATGAATGTGAGAATATACATACACGTGTACATGATTGTAATTCGCGAGTAATAGAGAAATTAAGAGAGAGAGAAAGAGATAGATAGATAGACAGACAGACAGATAGATAGATAGCCACGGACCTACATAGTAGTGTAAGTGGGCGGGGAGGTGAACCCCGACGTAGCGCGTCCCAGGTGGCGGATAGGGAGGCTCGCTTGCTATTGGCTTGCTAATAGCGGGAGGGTTTGAGGGAAATAAAATACCTCTCGCGGACCAAACACAAACCCTGTCCAGGGTTACGGACTAGGAGTAGGAGCTCCGAATATAAACCAATCATGGCGAGTACAACTCGAAGAGAACCGTTTACGGTGCAAGGGAGGGATACCCTAGTACCGGCGCCTGGTGGGAATGAGCAAGCGGGCTCCCCGACGTCGTCATTCCATGACCGCAGTGCTGCAGGGGTTGGTCACTCGGCCCCTGTAGTATCTAATGCTACAAGTGACGTAGAGAATGGCTCTGCTGGCAAGCTTCAGCAACTCGAGGAGGCAATAGAGGAGCAAAACCCTACCAGCGCAGTGGCAAGCTTGGCTGGGCTGACAGTAAATGCTACAAGTGTAACACAGAAGGAACCAATCTGGCTGAAACGCTGGAAGGATATAGAGCAGAGTGAAAGGGCTGAACAGGACCTGTTTTACCAGCTAGAAAGGAAGATGACAGAAATCCACGAGATTACGAAAAATGCGAATAATATCCATAAAGCGGTGAAGAATGGACAGGAAGCCGCAATGTCACTAATGAGAAGGCTAAAAAGTAGCTGCAAGAAGAACCAGAAAGATAAAGCACAGTTCAGAATTGAACTAGAGAAGACAGCTCAACAACCTGAAGGAAATAAGGGACAGAAGAGGGCAGCAGCTAGCCCGCCCATTGCGAATAGAACATCGAAAGTGATCATCACCGGCAACCGAGGTAAACGAATGATAGTTGAACAACCAGAAGCGATGCGTCAAGCTAGCCTTGAGAAGACTCAACCAACAAATGGCACATCACAAAGAGTATCGGAGGTCCAAAACAAGGATGCTGGAACCCCAACCACCTAGTAGCAGGATTAGGAAGTAGCCCAGGGAAAAAAAAGAAAAAATAGGCGTGGTAGAAGCCGATCGGCACGACGCGAGTCGACAACGCCAAGGGTGTCACCGCCAAGGAGAAGGCTTCCAAGGCCCAAAGCAGAGGCGGTTCTTATAAGGAAGCCTAAGGACAGCGATACAAGCTATGCTGAAATGCTGAAGCTGTTAAAGAAGAATGCTAATAACGAGGAAGTCGGGTCCAAAATAGGAAAGATACGAGAAACCAGAGATGGGAACGTGCTCTTGGAGCTCATAAAAGGTTCCAAGCTAGAAGACGTGAGCGGTGCCGTACGTACGGCTGTCGGTGATCAGCTAACTGTGAAGGCCTTAGTACCATAAGTTACGTTCGAAATCCGAGACCTTGAAGCCGGAATCACAGAAAGCGAGGTTAAAGGAGCCATCTTGACAGCTCTTGAAGCAGTCACACCAGAGCAAATTGAGGTGAAGAGCCTTAGAGCAGGACCCAGAGGATCAAGAATAGCTATAGCGACAGCGCCAAGAGCTACTGCTGCTGAAAAGATATTAAAATCAGGCAGGATTAGAGTGGGATGGGTGAATGCCTCCGTCCGAGAAAAGAGGATAATCTCGAGATGCTATAAATGCTTAGCATTTGGACATATCGCATCGGAGTGTCCAAAAAGGAACGAGATTCAGGAAAACCTGTGCTACAGATGCGGAGAACCTGGCCATTTAGCTGCTGGGTGTGAAAAGCAATACAAGTGCCGACCCTGCGAGGAGATCGGAGAACCTTACGATCATAGGACGAGAGATGCTAAATGCGTCGCGCTTCGAATAGCTAGGGAGAAGCTGGATCGAAAGCAAGGAGATGGCAAACGCTCCTAAAGTTGATATCCTGTAGATTAACCTCAGTCGATCTAGAGAGGCACAAGATCTGGCCATTTAGACCGCGAGGGAAAGAGGAGCGGATATTCTCCTAATTTCGGAGCAAAACCGGAATATGCCCGACAGTTTTCATTGCTATTTTCATGCAACCTATAGGTCCCTTTAGACCTAGTGTATTCTCTTTATTTTGTTATTTGATAGAGTTTTTCAGAAATTATTCTAAGTCTTTTTGTTACTTCCCCTCGGACATTTTAAAGTAACAGATTATATTCAAATATGCTATTTGTACACGATTCAATGAACTTATCTAGTTTGGTACGTCCGACGATTAGTTTATTGAATTATAGACAGATTACGTCGTTAAAAACATTACATGTTTTCATATCATTGACTTAAAATATAAAAAAACTTTTACAACAATTTATTTCATGTTGCAACTATGATAATCAAGGAATACTGATAAGATCTTGTACAAAAAGTTACATAAGATCTTGTACAATTCTTTACTCAATTTATTATTCAAGAACTTGACTACTATTGTTAGAAGAAAATAAATAATTAATAAAGTAATCATGTTGAGGATTTTCAGTGTACTTACCGGTACATACAGCTAACAGCAAAGATCCCAGTACACTTCTTCGAATTATTGTAAACCAGCTGCAATCAAAAAAGAATGAACGTGTTTATATAGAAAAATAAATGACATAATAAAGAACCTATGACTATCGATGTTCGCATGCAATAGTTATAACGAGACACACCAGTTATGTCTCTTTCTCTCTCCACACACACACACGCATACCCTCATGGGGCTTCACCCCTCTGCTAGATATGCTCGCCAAGTGCCGAAATGTGAAGCATTGCTCGTAATATTATCTTTTTCTTTTATTTAAAGCATTTCAAGCAGTATAATTATATGCTTATTTCTGTTAAATAGTATGTTCATTATACATATCGTACAAATATATAAAAGAATTTATGTCCGAAGGTAAAACATTGAAAACGTTGAAATGTAGCTTGGCTAGACTTGGAGATTACAACTTTTCAGAAAGGATAATAAATAGAGGCATGCTTTAGAGCACAGGTCATGTAAAAATATTTCTACATTCAAGAGAGTGTATTTTGCTTTGCTTAGTAGTATAAATATACGATCAATGTATCGTAAAGACTACATTGCCAAATTACCTGATTTATAGTTTATTCTGCTAAGATACATTTACATAATAGATTATCTATGATCATAATTCTGGCCAAGAAAGCTACTACGTTAAAACAATTATCTCTTATTCTATTAATAGTCACAATTTGATCTTGTTTTAGATTGAGTTTTGTAAACCAAATTTTTCTACAATTTTCAAAAAAAAAAAAGATTGAAATATTTTATATATTTAGTAGAGGCTAAGTCTTTGATAGTTCTGACTGTTTTTTTCCAAGAATATTTTCTACATTTTTCATACAGGTCAGTATACGGTACTTTTTCAATGTTGTACAATTCAAGTTCTACGGCCAATTTGGCTAAAGAGTCGACCTATTCGATACCTTTTATGCCTATATCAAAAGATATCCACGTAGATCTGTATAGATCCTCCTGTTCTCGAGTAAAAAATCAATATATTTACGTTTTACCTGAAGAATAAAACGATTTATTTTTATATTGATGTTTTTCGATTTTAATGCTTGGAAGGCAACTTAACGGATCTGTAAATACATTGATGTATCTTTCGCGATGGGAAAGCACAATATCTACGCTCAAAGCAATACACTCTGCAGTATATAGAGAGGGGTTGTTGTTAATCTATTTTACGTATGGTGTGTTAAGTTCTGGACATACACAGACCGAGCCTATGTGTTCGTTAGTTTTACTATATTCTGTGTATATCGCCAATGCCTTGCTTTGTATGCAGATGTCTACCACTTTATTGTTTGGATTTGCGCATACTTGGAGTTAACGGCCAAACTCTGTGTTAATTACGAGGGTCGTTTGAAAAGTCCGTGCAAAGTCAGAGAGATGGCGCTACTAGTGCGTATCAAGGTTATTTTCAGTTAGTGGCACATCTTGGAAGAGCACACACCAAGTTTCAGCCAGATCGGCCAATTACTTTGCGTTTTACATCCGTTTCAATCAAAGAAATCGAGTGATTGTAAAAAAATGGACGAAAAAGAATTTCGTGTATTGATTAAACATTAATTTTTCAAAGGCAAAACGCCTCAGGAGATTAAACAGAAGCTTGATAAACATTATGGTGATTGTGCACCTTCGATTAGAATGGTTTTTAAGTGGTTTCAAAATTTTCGGAGTGGCCATATGAGCACAAAAGACGCTGAACGTTCTGGACGCCCTGTTGAGGTTACCACTTCACAAATCATTGATAAAATCCATGATATGGTGATGGCTGACAGAAGAGTGAAGGTGCGTGAGATTGCTAGTACTGTAGGCATCTCGAGCGAACGGGTACATAATATTTTGCACCATCATTTGGACATGAAAAAGCTATCCGCTAGATGGGTGCCGCGATTGCTCACGATTGACCAAAAACGAGATCGTGTGAAGTGTTGCAAGAATGGTTTGCAACTGTTCCAGCAAAATTCACAAAACTTTAAGCGTCGTTTCATCACTGTAGATGAAACATGGATACATTACTACACTCCTGAGACCAAAGAATAGTCTAAACAATAGGTTACCAAGGGGAAATCTGCTCCGAAAAAGGCGAAGACAATTCCTTCGGCCGGGAAGGTTATGGCGACTGTCTTTTGGGATTCGCAAGGAATAATCTTCACCGACTATCTGGAAAAGGGTAAAACCATTACAGGCGAATATTATTCATCGTTATTGGATCGTTTGAAAACCGAGTTGCTAGAGAAACGTCCACGATTGGCCCACAAAAAAGCCCTCTTCCACCACGACAATGCGCCAGCTCACGCCTCAGCAGTTGTGACCGCAAAACTGATAGAGATAGGGTTCCAACTCGTTTCACATCCCCCTTATTCTCCAGACTTGGCTCCGTCGGACTACTATTTGTTCCCTAATATGAAAAAATGGCTGGCGGGGAAAAGATTTTATTTAAACGAGGAGGTGATTGCAGAAACGAATGCCTATTTTACAGACTTGGACAAATCCTATAAATTGGAAGGGATTAATAAACTAGAGCAGCGTTGGATGAAGTGTATAAGCCTAAAAGGAGACTATATTGAAAAATAAAAAAGATTTATTAAAAAAAATCAAACAGTTTTTATTTTTTCAAACGACCCTCGTATGACTAGGTTGACCAACGTATAGTAATCTGCACAATAGAATTGAAAATTTCTTTTTACATCTATGTTTTTAAGATTGTCGAGTTCATTTTTAATACAATTACTTAATAATGATTTATGTCTTTTCAACTTAAATTTCTTAATATAATTCTGAAAAGTAATAATTGCTTTGTGTAATTATGAGCTGGAATTTAAATATGCTTTAACTACATAATTGTTGCACAGGTGTCTTGTTCGCTCATTAATGTACGGTATTTTAGCTTTCGCTATTAAGATATTTGTGGACAATAGTCTAGAGCTTTGCGTATTGTTGTGAATTGAAATACTTCGAGTTTTTTTCTCAACGCTTTTATACGTGGGAAATAAATAAAGCACCCATAATCGATTATATTATCGACCTGAAATAGTTCTTATATAAGCAAAGTAGCGTTATCGGATCGGCGTCCCACCAGGTTTCACTCAAAAACTTAATTATGTTTAAGGCCTTGGAACACTTCATAGTGATATCATTCGCATGTAGAACGAAGGAGAGTTCGTAGTCAAAAGTGACTCCGAGGAACTTAACGAATTCTCTGTTTTCATTGCCGTATCAAAATTTCCTTTAACACTAAACCTACCGACATATTATATATATCTATTTCTACAGAATGACTGTTAAATGACCGCTTTTGAAATAAACAGTTATTATCTTTTCCAGTTGATTATAATTAATACAGAATTTAGCATAAACAATAAACACCAAATAATTATCATCTAATAATTAAAAAACATTCATTTTTTAGGCTTTAGGAGCGGTCATTTGACCGCTCTGGTAGGTTTAGTGTTAATTGCCTTTCCCATTATGGCCTTGCCTCTTTTAAGCTAACCAAATTTAATATAAATTGCGAATTCATCTGCAAACTGAGATAAAGTTGTCACTTTTGAAGTTTATTTATAATGTCCACTATGTATATTATGAATAGGCGCTGAGCACTCCGCCTTGAGAAACGCCTTTATGTACAGTGCGAGGTTCTTGAAAATGAGTATTTATTATTCTTTGGTGAATAATGTTTTTGATGAAACAAAGCGTTTTTTCAGTACACCAGATCGAGATAAGTTTATCAAATAGTATGTTTACATTTCCGTTGTCAAAGGCAGTTGTTATATCTCAGAAAACTGATAGAACCTTTTTTCCTTGAAGAAAGGCTTCTTTAATTTTTAGAGAGAGATTTGCTAAATTGTCCATACACGAGTACCCCTTCCGAAAACCACGCTGACTCCCAGATATAACTTTATTTTCTCCTCCCACTACTGCATCCTATTCTTTATTAGTGTTTCGAATAGTTTGGACAAACAAGATAATAGTAAGATAGGCATAAGCCTTTTGTTATCTGATTTCGTGGTAAAGTATATGTAAACATTTTTTCTAATACCAGGCTATGATTGAATGCGGTACATTTCATTATATACATATCTAGAAGGAGAAACTAAAATTTTATTAGTAGTCTCTTAATAATGTCGAAATCAATACCGTCTATGCCTGGGGCCGATTTGGTATTTTTTGGATCAAGCGCGATGTTGAACTCTACAAAATCGAATGTACGGTCAAAAAAACCATTTTTCTCACTCTTAGAAAGGGGCTTAGGTTCAGATTGTACCCATGCCGGATTTAAATTGTGTATTAATTCAATTTCTGTTTATAAATTTTGTTTTGTTTGTTGATTAGCGGTTTTCGTCCATTTGTTTTTGAATACTTTGCACTTGTTCCACGCATAGGAGATATTAGTATTAAAATTAATTGTTGAGGCAAATTTACGAAAACATTCTTTTTCCTTACATTTGAATGTTCTTTTGATTAAAGATTGATATTTCTTGTACTCGATAAAATCCAACGAGTTTTCAGTATACTGTCACTTTTTATACAAAGCTCTACAGTCTTTTAACTTTATTACATTCATCATTCCACCGGGGACTGGATTATTAGATGCGTAGCTTTTATGTGTAACCTTGCGTGGGGTGTAGAGTATACGATGACGTTTTTGACAATCACAGTGAAAGTTTCGTATTTATGTTAACTGTCAAGCTGTCGTAATCTTTGGTTGAGAAATTTTTATAGTTTTCATTCAAATTTTCCTCGATCTTGAAATTCCAAATTATAAGACAAGTACAAAACATATTCCATAAAACGTATCCAGCTATGCAAAATTGGGAATCCAAATTTATAATGTTGTTGCTTGCAAGGAAGTTTTTATACATATGAAATCTCATTCATAAATTTTGGACCAACCGTAAAAATATCGCAGCATCTTGAAGCTTTCTGTCGTGTGAAAATATAACATATTTTACCGTCTATCATTGTGCATTTCAAATCAAATTTTACATGAAATGACATACCGTTAAAATGAAGAATATAAGTTTCTACTTTC